CCCCTTAGGGAGCCGACTGTTCCATTATCCCTCTCAAACTTGAGCAACATAAGAGATGGGATTATAACAGCCTTGGAATTATTCAGGGTTGGTCGACCCAGAATCATGTTGTAGGCCGAGAGTTCTTCTACTACCAAGAACCGGACTACCATGTGTCGTCCTTCCCCTTTTCCGCCCAGGCGGATGGGTAAATCCACTCGTCCCAGTGGGTGGACGACTCCTCCTCCAAACCCTACTAAAGGGTGGGAGGCCGGATGTATGCAATCAGTCCGATATTTTAGCTTCGACAGACATTTGCTACTGATGAGATCTGAGGAGCTTCCGGTATGTATGAGGATTCGGCCAACTCTCTGGTTGGCCACTTTACATTCAATAACGATAGGGTCGTCATGCGGCCCTCTTACCCCTCCTAGATCTTCTTCAGTGATGACAATCTCAGGAAATGAATTTTTGGACGACCGTTCTTGTTGAACGGAATTTACATCTAACCGCCTGATATTGTCTTTGTTGCCCCTATTAGTGGGGCCGCCTCCTGAGAAGCCGCCTGCAATGGTGTAGACGACTGCATCATCTGTATCGGAGCTGTCAGCCTGTTGATTCTTTTTGGCCGACTGCTTTTTTGAGGAAGTGTTCCCCGTAGATTTCTTGACATAAGTGTCAAGATCACCTTGCTCAGCCAGGCGGTCCAGATACCGCATGAGACTGATGCAGTCATTGGTGTGATGACCAACATCATCATGATAAGCACATAATTTATTTTGGTTCCGGTTGTTTGCAGAACCCTTCATGGGGACCGGCTTCTCAATTGAGATCCGTCCCTTGATTTCTTTTAGGATAAACTGGTTATCTTTGTTAAACGCATACTTTGGGGAGTATGGTTTGAATTCTTTTTTCTTTTTCTAGGCCGACTGTTTAGAGGAATCAGCCGCCCAGACCTCTTTTCTCTTCTCATCTTTGTTTGACGACTGTTTCTGTCGTCCTTCTCTTTTGTCGAACCTTTTCCCGTCCGACTGTTTTACCGTACAAAGATCAGCCGCCTGTATATAGGCTTCTGCTTCAATCAAGGCCTCTTGAAGAGTCGCCACCCTCTTTCGAACCAAATCAAATTTGAAGGTAGACCCGTCTTTGAGACCTCTGAAAAAGTCAGTATAGGCTACCTCATCCGGTAACCCTTGAATTTGTATTCTCATCAGGTTAAACCGCCTGATGTAAGAACAAAGCCCTCCTTCTCGCCCTGCTGAATTGTTCCAAAATCAATGGTCGTTTTCTTCGCAGGGATGTTCATGGCGATGTTGGAGGTGAATAAGTAAGCAAGCGTCCTGAAGCTATTTACACAACCAGTCGGCAGGTTGCCGAACCATTGTTGTGCGATTCCTTTGAGAATCGCTGGGAAACACTTGCACCAAGTGGGATCATCCAACCCTTGAAGGTACATCAGGTTGGTGAATTCCATCAGATGGTCTTCTGGGTTAGTAGTGCCGTCATAGGCGCCTACTAGTACATTTTTCACTTTGGCCGGCTGAGCGGCTTCAGTAATTTCCTTGGAGAAGGCCGACGGCTGTTCAGCAAGTCTAAGCAACCGTAGCTGCCAGTCCATAGGTTGGACGTTTTTTGCTGCAGGTCCACCAAACGGAGGTGGCCGCAAAAAATACTGTTGTTGTGGTACAAATGGTAAGTTTGGTACCGCCTGGTCGCTATGAAAGCCGGATTGACGGGAGGTGCCGCGTGACTGACTCTCATGATACGACTGAGTATGCCTCATCGAGGCATTTCGCAGACTGTCTTGAAAGTTTGAAGTAGAGGCCGACTCTGACAATCGGTCACTCTTCTTCTGCTCTAGCAGTAGCCGAGCGTCTGTGAATGTTTGCTTCGACCCGTCCGCCTGAATATGACGAACAGGTTTCCTATTTCCTGTAGGAAAACGGAATTTTGTGAAATCAAGGGCAGGTGGCTCCCGCTTCCTAGATTTAGGATGAGGAGTCGCCTCTCGCCCTTGAACTGGCTTCCTCTTCAGTGAAGTGGAGGGTTTCTTAGCCGACTGCTCCTTGACTGGAGCAGGCGGCTTCTTGTTGAGCAACTCTTGAATCTCTCCCTTGAAGTTCCTCATGAAGGTCATGAGTTCGTTCCTTGTGATGGGAGCAGACCCATCAGTCGGCTGTTGCCGAACAGGCGGTGCCTGCTGGCTCACTTCCAGTTTGAAGATGTTCCCGTTCCCTCCTTTCAGTATGACAGGTACGTCGGGCCCTTAGGGTCCCGTCTGAAGCTGTGTGAGCTTCAACTTCAAATCACTCTCGGTATCATGGTCCGACTGAACTTGAGGGTCGTCTAGGGGATGCCTCTCTTCAGGAGTCGGTACAGACTTGGATGCCATCTCAGAAGTACTTTCCCCACAGACGGCGCCAAATGTTTCGGGGTTTTCTGATGTCCTACGGGAGAGTTACAATTCCAAGACTGGAACCGGACGCCTGTACCTGCAAAATAACGGAGACTCATGGTGGTGGCAGCTCCGCCTCCAACGGTCAAGTTAGTACTTGATTAAGGAGTAATTAATGCAGAAATTAAAGTGATTGGGTCTCTCTAGGTGAGAGTGTTTAATGTAGGGAATCTGCTTTGTTAGCGAGATCAGCCGGTTATTACTGTGTGTAATTAATGTGTTTTTTTTTTCGTCCTCCCCCTTAATGAGGATTAAGGGAGGTATTTATAACCTTGGGAAACGTGCCCATCCTAGGTTTAGGTTAACCTAGGGCTGATTGGGCTTCCCTCGGAAGTTGGGCCTGGGTGGCCGGTTTCTCCATTAGGCATGGAGTATGCCACATGTCATGACATAATAGGTCCAAGGTGGACGAATAAGCGCGTGCCACGTGGCAAGCCCTGACAGTTCCAACCGGGGGACACTTGGCAGGACCTGATTGGCCCACGTGGCGCATTCCGATTGGTGGGAGCAAAATCCCCTAATCAGCACGCATAATTAATACAACTAAACAAATAAACATGCAATTAATAAAGCGATAAACACATTAAGAGGGAGAGAGATAAAGTAGGAAAAGTCATTCTTATCCTCGTAGCGTGCTTCACACGAACTCGAGCACGACCCCCCGAAAAGCTCAAGACACGCATGCGCGAATCCTCCTACTTCGCACATTCACGCGTCCGAACAAGTTTCCTACCTTGTAACTTAGACGAGTCTAAACCAAAAATGAGTTTTATGAACTTAAAGGTTTTCTCACGCTTTTGGGAGATGCCTTATTGAGTTCAACTCAAAGTATATACTTCTCAACTACCAAGGTTGGTATTTATAGGCAAAGCACTCCCAAAACTTCAATCATCTTTTCATGGGGGAGAGTTGATGAAATGAGAAAAATAAGCAATTAATTTAATTCTAAATCAAATTAATTAGCATAAACAATAAGCAAACAACAAATATCAATCTAAAGGAGGGGTTAGGTAAGGACCATGAACCCTCTCCTTGGAGAGCAAGCAAGCTACCACCTCACCCAAAGGCAAGGTAAGCTGGCCGGCCAAGCCTTAGGCTCCAAGGCACGCCTAACTGGCGTCCTTTCCCTTGGCTGGCCTTGCCAGCACATCACAAGCTCACGCGAGCTTACTGGGCGCTAGCGGGTTGCTAGTTAGGCCTGCTCGTGTGCTTACGGGCTGGTTCTAGCTTTGCTAGCATTGGCTTGCTCGCATGCTTGCGGGCTGATGCTAGCGCTGCTAGCTCGGCTAGCAAGCATGATTTACGAGGCTAGCTCTGCTAGCTAGCCTGCTCGGCCAACTTGCCTAGCCAGCGCACATGCATGGCTGCTGGGCTTGTGGCCGAGGCTAGCACATGGCTAGTAGCCTTGCTAGCCTTGCACGCCTAGTCCTCGCATTGGCCTAGCCAATGCGAGGCTAGGTCTTTGCGCGTTGACTTGTCATTTGACTTATTTTCTTGCGATTCGTTGAATCAACTCGACGTTCGACGCTCTAAGCTTGGAATCCGATGTTTGAGTTCATAAAATCTTTATCGACTCATTAAATCCTTCGGATTACTTCGTCGCCTTTGATCGGTTACACGATTGGGTGTGACTCGTAGGGTTCAATCAAGTGCAAACTGTAAGATTAATTATACATTAATCTTACTGATCAGAAGCGGTCTCTAACTAGGCATTCCAATCACTTGACTTCACTGAATAATTAATTTTCCTAATTTATTCTGAACCCTCTATCGGAATAATACACTTGTTCGAAGGACACCATTCCTTTCAATTTTGATTTAATCATCCATTTTTTTATTAACTTTATTTGACCATCTACAAAAACGCCAAAATTTATATTTCATCTTCTCTTGGTCCATTTTAAAAAAAATAAAAATAAAAAATCATACCAAAACTTACACTATTAATGTTTTGGGGTCATTTTAGCTCCGATATAAAGTCAGAACTGTAAATAAACATAGCTCATTTTACGTGTTAAGAAATACGTTCACAGTGCATTTATTATATCTCTAAAATATTTTTTGAGATGTAATGAGTACTACAACATTGAGTAACCACCTCATATTTTTTTATAAATTACTTTTCAGCCCTTCTTGTGTGTAGGTGGCCACACCGTGTGACCACTTATAAAAGAATAAAGTAATCCCTATAACACTGAATGAGTAACCCCTTTAATATTGGCCGAGTAACCCCTATAACGCTGACTGAGTAACGTTTGTTACACTTACCAAGTAACTCTTATAACACTAACGAAACAGTATAACACTAACGAAGTAACCCCTATGATGGATCGTCGCATGGTGTGACTAGCCACATATAAGAATGTGTGATTACTTTTACATTTTTTAACTCAAAGAGGTAAAATTGTTTAGTTTTTTCAAACAATTTGAAACTACAGTGTACTGCGTCAAGAAAACGGTCGCAAAATATGAAATATGCGACCAATTTTTACACGGTCGCAATATTACGACCGTTTTGTAAATGGTCGCAATATTCTGGCCTTTTAAATAGTCGCAAAGATGTTTGAACAATTAAAAATAATTCTAAATTAAAATAACTCTTTTGCAACAGCTAAAACGGTCGTAAACAGCGGCCATTTATGAAACAGTAGTAATTTGCGACCGTTAAAAAGGATTTTGTATTTTTTCTTAAAAAAAAAAAACAATACGATATAAAAGGATACCCCTTACTCCCAAACCCTAATCTTCTTCTCACTCACGCCGCTCATCCCTCCTCTTTCTTTTCTCTCTCCTTCTCTTTCTTTCTTTCTCTTTCTTCTCTTTCCTTTCTCACACTCCTCCATCTCCTTCTCTTTCCTTCAATAGTAGAAAAAGTCTCTTTTACCACTACATAAATGCTTCGATGATAAAGAAAACCGTAGCAATTTATTTAGAATGTTACGGGTCAATAACTTCACCGTAGCATATTTTAGTTAAACGATAAAAAAAAAAAAAACAGGCCTCACCCCTTTTTTTGTTGTTTCTCTCTCCTCTGTTGCGTTATTGACTTATAGGGCGTTTGCTTGGAGGTATAGAAATAAGAGGGATAAGAAGGGAGTATAAAGATAAGAGATTGATGGGAAGGACAAGGATAAATAATTTTTATCCTATGTTTGGTAAATATGGGAAACAAATTAGGGATAAGTGATAAATTTATAAAAATACACTTACTAACTTCTACCCTTTCTCTTTACCCTTTCAATTTCATTAAAGGTATTTATAATTTTTTTTTTTTTTTTTTTTTTTTTTTTTTTTTTTTTGTTGCCTCCATTGTTATTGTTGTGGATGTTGTTGATATTGTTGTGGATGTTGTTGATATTGTTGTCGATGCTATTAATATTGTTTTCGGTGCTAGCTATTAATGTTGCTGTCGGTTTTGTTTCTAGTGTGCGGTTATTGTTGTTATTGTTGGATAATTTTCAGGTTTAGGATTGTATAGATGATATCTGATCTTGTGTTGTTTATACTTTTTAATCAATGTAACTAATCTGTATAGTGAAAGTGATGGTATTTGGTTATCCTTTTGTTGGGCTAGGTATAGAGTGATATTTACACTCTATTAGAATACTTGGAAGTTTTTAATTTGTTTTAGATCATGTCGCACTTTCCTTTTGCATCTGTTCTATACAAAATGCTTCTAATTTATCTGACTTCTTCTCCTGGTTTCTGGGACCCTTTTGGATGAAATTAAGCAGGTCCTCAGTGTTAGCTCTAGTAGAAAAAGAGAGATATTAGAGAGGGCTAAAGTAGAGGACTTTGGTTCTGAAGAGAGTGAGTTACTTAAAGAGTAAAATGAGCAAGAGTAAAATAAGGAGAGTTTTGTCTGTGGTTCAGGTTGGTGAAATCTTGGGAACATTAATCAAAACGGCCTCCTCCTTATCCGCCTTTGATGAGCTACCATCGTACTGGACTCCTAAGTGGGTAAGTTTCTCGCTGAATATCATGATTTTTATCTAAGAAAGCTGTTAGTGTCTATATTATGTTGCAAGAGACCATGGTTTGTGTGGGCTAAGTTGAATAGCTTTTAAACCAAGTGGCTCAATATCAGTTAACATATTGTTCATATGCATCCATTCATGTTTTCATTTTCTTTCTTGTGATTAGTGACTTCTCCCTCTCTGACAAACTTGCTTATGTGTTTGAGATCAAAATCGCTAATGAAATTTGATCTTGTTTAGTAGATTTGTTGGGGATGAATTGATAAACCTGAAACCTGATTGTTCTTGAACCCTAATTATTAGAACTCATTTGGTCCATTTCTGATTATCATGTAAAGAACTTGACACTAGACAACTAGTACTGCATATGAAGTTGCATAATTTGAAGGTAATGCAATGCATTTGGCTCATGTTTGATTATGTATTTGGGTTGCAAGCATATCATGCTAGTTTGATATTTAATAATCACTTTTCTCTATAATAATCATTCACTTGGTTGATATAAATTGTACGTACATCTTTGAGGTAAATTAGATTACCTACAACCGTTTTCTCTTCCTTTTTTCCCCTCTTTTATTTTTCCATCAGCTTGTTAATTTAAGTATTTTGTTTATTATTATAGCCACTGTCCATATGTTGTCGTCCTTGCCGATGTTGCCACTGTTTATATGTTGCCAATGCTGCTGTCCAAAATTGATGCTGCTGATGTTGCTGTCAAAAATTGATGTGCTGTTTTCGTTTGTTGCATAGGCTGCCAGCCTTATTTGTAAATATATATTTTACATTGTATAATTATTATAAGTTATATGGAAATGGTTTCTTTTATGTATATGTTATACAATCATCATTAATTAAGCTTTTAAAATGCAAAAAATAAATTAAATTATATATATATATATATATATATATATATATATATATATATATATATATTGTAATATTTTTTGGGCCATTTAATGCTACGATATAGACAACAAACCGTAGCAAAAAATAGCAAAAGGTGTCGGTTTTCTTGAAAAAACCGTAGCAAAAGGTGCAAAAACGCTACGGTTATTTTAAAAAAACTGTGGCAAAAAACTTAAATTTGCTACGGTTTTGAATCGGAGCAAATAGTTTTCCTTATTCGCTATGCCCACTAGTTCTACGGCACAAAGTTGTAGCAAATACCCCTAAAAAAACCGTAGCAAATGTCATTTTTTTCCACTAGTGCTTTCTCCTTCTTCTCTTTCCATTTTTGTTCTCCATTTTCGTTCGCATCTCATGCCCCTCCATTTTCATTCTATTTTTCTTCATCATTCTTTCCACATCTGGAGTTTTGGTGTTCGGATTTCGTAACCAAACGAATTATGGTGTTCAGATTTTCTTCAACAAACGAATTATGGTGTTTTTATGGTTAAATTCAATCATAAAAATTCCATATCTGGAGTTTTTATAGTCGAATTTGACCATATAAACCCGAAGAGGAAGAAATATTGGGAAAGATACGTTGATTTTTCAAAAAAATTTGTTTGTTTTGGTTTATTTTCGATTTTTGTGGTTTTATTTCATTTTTTATTTGAATTTCCATGTTTATATTTCTACAAATTTTGGTTGTTTTTTTTTTTTTTCCCCGATTTTTGTTTGAGTTTTTGTTCGAACTTCGTTGATTTTGGGCTTGATTTTGAGTTTTTGTCAATGTTGTTCGAATTTCGTTGATTTTGGGTTTGATTTTAGTTTTCGTTGCTTTTGTTCGAATTTTCATGAACTTTGTTCATATTTTGTTGATTTTTTTTTTTTATTTTCGTTAATTTGAGTTTGATTTACGTTAACTTTGTGGACTTGTGATAAATATATGGGTTATTTTGGGTTAAGGGGTTTTTTTGGGTGGCGGTGGTGGTGGATAGAGGTTGTAAGGGTGGGCGGTGGTAGTGGGGGAGTTGGTTTGGGCGGGTAGTGGCGGTGGGTAGAGTTGGTTTGGGTGGGAATGGTGGTGGGGTTGTGTGGAGTACATGCAGTGGTTTGTGTGAAGTACAAGCAGTGGTTTGGTTGGGAATGGTGGTGGGGCTGTTTGAAGCGGTCGTTAAATTCCAGATTTGCGATCAGTCCTAAAAACGGTCGTAGTTATTAACATTTGCGACCATTTTCCATGCGGTAGTTTAAATTAGTAGAAACGGTCGCAATAAATATGCAGCCATTATTCAGTCGTAATAATCTCTTTTTGCGGCCAAGTGGATAACGACTACCATATTACGATCGGTGACGGTCGCAATTATTTTCAGCGGCTGTCTGAGACGGTCGCAAAAACCTTAATTTTTAGTTGTGTACAAAACATCCGTAATACAAATGAACATCTAATTTCATATTTTATAAAATCATTATATGTTCATTATCATAAAATCATTATAATTGGAATAATAAATGTTCATTTTTGTTATAGTAAATGTTCATTTTTGGTCGCGGGACCAGCCGCTGGGCGCGAGTCCAGTCAATCAATAACTTAATACTAAACAGACGTCGAAAGTGACACGAGTCACATCCTGATGCTGTTTTTTCTCTTCATAACTCTCCTCTCTTTTTAGTCAAAATCTTTATTTTTTGGAATATTTGTATAATACCACTATAATAATATTATTTCAAATATTTAATATTATCTTTATAATAAATGTATTTCTTTTTATTTGGTGTCCTTAATTCTTCCATGCACAATTACCTAAAATATTATTCCAATTATATTTTAGTTATCTTATAAATGGAGTATTATAAGATTTTGCCAAAAAATTAATAATAAAACTGATTCGTATAATTGATAATAAATGTATTCCTTTTTTTTTTTTTTCAAATACCTCTAATTTTTTATTTCAATTTATATATTAAAAATATACATTTAAATTAATGACAATTTTGTTTCTAAGATTTACTACTATGTATCTAAAAATATATTAAACTTATACTTTGCCTTTTAATATAGATTATGACAATATAATTTCTATATATTTTATGTGTATGTTTTATAAAATTTATTTGTTAGATATAATTAATTTTTTTAAAAAATAAGACTTACTCTAAACTAGTACTAATTTACTAACTGTTTTAGAATTCCAAAATTAAATTTAGGGTATTTTGATTTTTACCACCTTCAAATAACCAAATAATTGAATTTACCACCTCCAAAAAAAAAAGATTTACTTTACCACCTCATAAAAAAATTAAACATCAGTTTTACCACCAATCACCTCCAACTAACGGATTCCGTCCAAAAATCCGTTAGTGGGGCCCACCTTGCACACGTGTCGCCATATTATTGGTTAAGTTTTAAAAAAATAAATAAAAAAAACAAAATAAAAAATAAAAAATCCCCATCAAGCAACCGATGGTTGCTGCCACCGTCGGGACCCCCACCGCCGGACCGGCTACAACCAGCCCCACCACCTAACCGTTACAACCAGCCCCCACCACCTAACCGCTACCAGCCACCGTCGGGCCCCACAGCCACCACACCGATTTCGACCTCAAAACCCTAGCCACCACCTAACAGCTACGACCAACCCCACCACCTAACCGCTACCACCGCACCGCACACCACAGCCGCGCCGATTTTGACCCCCTTTCCACCAATTTCCGACCTCAAAACCCTAGTCAACACCTAATAGCTACGACCAACCCACCACCTAATCTCTACCACCGCACCGCACACCACAGCCGCACCGATTTCTACCCCTTTCCACCAATTTCCGACCTCAAAACCCTAGCCACCACCTAACAGCTACGACCAACCCACCACCATCCAAACCCAGACCAGAAACAACCGCCACCCAGACGCGAAACCACCCCGACTCAAAACCACCACCACCCACCAGAAACCCTGCCAGCCAGACGCGAAACCATCGCGACTCGAAACCACCACCACCCAGACGCGAAACCCACACGAAATTCCGACCAACCGAGGTAGTTGATTTCGTTGCTGGTTGGTTGACATGGAAGATCGGGGAAGATGAAGAAGAAACGTCAAAAATGTGGGCCCTACTAACGGATTCATGGACGGAATCTGGTAGTTGGTGGTAAAATCGATTTTTTGGAAATTTTGGTGGTGGTAAAGTAAATCTTTTTTTTTTGGAGGTGGTAAATTTAATTATTTGGTTATTTGAAGGTGGTAAAAATCAAAATACCCTTAAATTTACTTTATGGTCCGCTATAAATGGCCTTTAGAAATTTTGAACGTCTCTAAAACCCAAGCCCAATTTAAATTGTTAACCCAGACTAAAATTGCAAAGCCTAACTAATATTATTGATAAAACCCAATAAGATCCATTCATGCCCAACAATAGATAATACTCTGTAGTACAGTAGCTAACCTTAGGGTCATTATCTAACCAGGATGCTACTACTCCTGTGTTGTGCGTGATGAGTACCTTTCACGTTTTGATTGACGAGTTCGATAAAGAGTTGAAGAGTCGCACAAAGTTTCCTTAAGCCTAGACCATATTTCTAATCTTTTCCAAAGTGTTTTTAATCCAAATCATTCACTTCGTGTCTTTTTAAACCCAAAATCATTCATTTCGTGTCCCTAAAATCATTTGTTTTGTGCTCGAAATATTAAAAACGTCCAAACCTGATTATTTTGGTCCATGTTCTCAGTCCCATTATTGTTTAGATGAATGGGGCTTAAAAAAAGCTTTCCAACGATACATTATAAGCCCAAATCCGACTTAAAACGAATGAGTTATGGGTAGGATACTAAACCGAGCCTAGGTCCACTTTTAGTACGACCGAATTATTATATGGAGTCCAAATATTTTATTTAGGCCCATATGATCATATTCCTAATCCCAAATCAGTTAAGATTTTCTAAAATCTTCTCTAAGGTTCTAATCTATCCTTTTCAAAAAGATTCTATCATCTCCGCCTATAATGATGCAAGCATTCTATTATACACACTACACGCGTAAATCAAATAATCCCAAAAAAATATAAGTGGAAGATTTTATTGTTAGAGATCATATAATTCCGTGTTGATTAAACATGTAAGAAAATAATATTTTTTTAAAATATGCAAAGAAGGAGGCTAACTCCCAACTTACTTAAGATTAATAATTACGAAAATTAAAAAAAATGAAAAAATTTTGTGAATGATAGTTGATTAGGGGATTTTTCCCCACTAATCACCATTTGACAAGTGGACCAATCAGGTTCCGCCATGTGTCCGTCACATGGGCCAATAGGAGCCTGCCACGTGTCAAGAAATGATCCGTCCACTCTGGACCAATTACGACACGACACGTGTCCTTCCCATGACACCTGGGATAACCGGTCACCTAGGCCCAACTTCCGTGGGAAGCCCAATCAGCCCAAGGTTAACCTAAACCTAGATTGGCACGTTTCCCGAGGTTATAAATACCTCCATTAATCCTCATTAAGGGAGATTACACAGATTACACACATTAAACTCTCTCACCTAGAGAGACCCAATCACTTTAATTTCCGCATTAATTACTCCTTAATCAAGTACTAACTTGACCGTCGGAGGCGGATCTCCAATCATCCGGAGCATCTGTTTGTTTTGCAGGTACAGGCGTCCGGTTCCAGTCTCGGAATTGTAACTCTCCCGCAGGACATCAGAAAACCCCGAAACATTTTGGCGCCGTATATGGGGAGAGTACTTCTGAGATGGCATCCACGTTTGTATCGGCTCCTGAAGAGAGACGTCCCCTGGACGACCCTCTAGTTCAGTCGGACCACGATACTGAGAATGAATTTGAAGTTGAAGCTCACACAGCTTCAGACGGGACCCTAAGGGCCCGACGTACCCGTCATACCGAAAGGAGGGAACGGG